CACTGCTCATTCACTGCAGAGCAGCAGGGGAAGGAGGGGAATGAGCCACTGGAACAGTGTGTGAAGTGTGTGTCTGGGAGTGTGTGTGTAAGAGCGCTGTTACCCAGAGCAGCGAAGGTGTCCCTCAGGTCCTGCTTGTCGATAAAGCCGTCTCTGTTCTGGTCCATGATGGTGAAAGCCTGGAGGAGAAGAGTTGCATGAGGGAGGACTGGGGTGTTGTTGGCAATGACCGACAGACAGCTCGATCCACATTTTTAGCTGATCCACATGCTTCACTGTCTTGGTGTGTGTGACAGGGCTCAGCACCTAATAGAAGCTGTAGCTGGTGGTTATTCACTGGGACTTGGACGTGCAGTCAGACCCCTTACGCCAGGGGACCAGGCTCCAGACAGCAAGCTTGGTGCTTGCTGTGGCTGCGCAGGTCTGGCGTGTGGGGCTGTGACAGCTCACAGTGGCCACTGACCTCCACACAGCCCGCAGTGCCGGCTGACATGCGATGACCTTTACAAATGCGTCAGAATGCAGCGCACTTCGAACTGGATGCGAGATCTTCCAGGGAGATTTCTCAAGCTGGTTGTCGTCGATGTCTAAAGAAGTTGACTTTTCTTTCTAACAGTAGTTGGTTCCTGACGCCTTGATGGCCCTTGCTCTGCTCACCTCTTTGAACTCCTGTATCTGGGACTGTTCAAACATGGCGAAGACGTTGGAGCTGGCACCCTCTGCCCTCTTCTTTGCTTTCTTGGGAGCCTGAAGGAGGAGGAGAGGAGAGTGGCTGTCACTTTGCTCATATACTGTGGGTATGAAGGAAGCTATACAAGGCCTGAGCCTTAGAAGGAAAATTCCTTCATTGAACTTTTAACACTAGAGGTAACAGGCTAAAGTAAGTGTCTTGAAAACCCTTTTGTTTCCTTCTTTTTTAGTGTTAATACATTAATGACTGCAGTGTAGTGCAGGATTATTTTATTTTCTGCATTACGGTCTAACACTAACTAATTAGGGGGCTGATTGATAAGGAACTTACTATCAAAGATAATTAAAAAGAAAAAAACTCAATGAGCATTCACTGGTATTAAAAAGAAAGGCACACCTCTTTTAAACAAAAATTGTATAAATCTCAATTATGTTGGTTTGGAAAAATGCAAAAGTGTAGACGTGCTCAAATAATATTTTGACTTCTGTTTAAACATTTCTTCTGAGTGCTGTATTTATGCGCTTTGTTTTGTTCATGTGGAATGCACGGTTCTCTGAATTCCAACACCGCTCGTCGCTCTGTGACCAAAAGGGTGTGTGAGGAGCACCTCTGGCCGCCCTGTCTGTCCAGATTCTCCAGAGTCTTATCTGCAAACCCTCGGGCCCCTTGAAGTGCGAAGTTGTGACTATGTGACCTCTGGCCGGCCTGACATGACAGCTGATCAGTTAGAGGAGACGAGTGGTGGGGCAGCTGTGCTTGACACCTACTCCCTGGAACCACCAAAGTCTTTTTTTCACTTTCAGTTAACTGCTTTGGCAATAAATCACTTGACAGAAAACAGCTAGCGTTGATCAGAGAGAGAGGGGAGGTGCAAGGGTGCTTTCTGTGACTCTCAACCATGTTTTTATTGAACAAGGGTCAACTATAGTTCATTAGTGCATACTGTGCATTTTTTAATTTTCAAAATCCAGATTAGAAGCTGTTGTTATGTAAAGGTTTGACCGTATTTTGGCCAAAGAGAAATTCTGAATTTGCAAAGCGAGAGTATTTTCTTCTACAATTTGTCCTGTTTGTGAAACAATTTGGACTGCTACTCCTAAAGACGCGTTGGAATGTAACGGGGGAGTATAAACCACGACTCTCCAGCTCATCTGTTTGACCTCCTCACCTGTTTCTTCACTCAAGAAACCCTCCCAGTTTATCATATTCATATTCATATTTACTTCTCTGGGAAAGTTGTTCTTTTTAAGAATTCATATTGAGGAACTGGATGGTAATTTAATCATGAACGTCTCGGAGAAACCAAATGGTCTAACATGGCTTATTGTAAACATCGTTCACTGGATTAAGGCATTGGTGGGCAGAGATCAAAATGGCGTGATAAGGAGCAGGATGCTGAATGACACAGGCGGCTCTGCTCTGTCTCCAGTCTGTCCTGACGAACACCTGGGAAGGCACATCTGCAGATTCATCCGAAATCCTGCGGGCACTGACTGGGCCACCTTCACCTTCTGCCCTTCTGCCATGAGAAAGACTTCCCTCCAGGTCCTGTGTCTTAGCAACGTGCCATGCCAGCCCCCAGGCTGATCTGTTTGTCTCATATCATCATCACATCCCAATCAGTATCCGATTATCCAGTTCAGGGTCACACAGGAGCCAGAGCCTGTCCTGGGGAGCACTGGGCACAAGACAGGGTACACCCAGGACAGGACGCACAAGACAGGGTACACCCTGGACAGGACCCACAAGACAGTGTACACCCTGGACAGGACCCACAGGACAGGGTACACCCTGGTCCATTGCAGAGAAGACACTGGAGGAAAGCCACGCAAACATGGGGAGAACATGCAAACGCCACGCAGACAGCACCCCAGGTCCAGAATCGAGCCCGGGGCCCGGGGCCTGGGGCCTGGCGCTGGGAGACAGCAACGCTGACCGCTGACCACTGCGCCACCGCGCGGCCCGTTTTTCTGACACGCTCTTTTGTTCAGATCAAGGCGGGAAAGGAGGTGATTTCGCAGAAAACCCCCTGAAGACCAGTCGAAGAGCTTATCGCACAAACGGCACAGCGTGCGAAGCTTGAGATCCCGAGTTCGCTTCCTGGCAGCCGGATATCGGCTCTGCTGACATGTTGGAGCTGCAGAACTAGGAATAACCCATCCCGGACCACCCTAAGACCCACACGGAAGGGAGCGATGGAGCGGGGCACTTACCATAACGATGCTGTTCCTTCCTTCTGTGCCGTGCGCCCCTGAACACACAGCGAAAATGAGCCCGTTGGTTTTATACTCCGGCGCGGTTGGCTCCGATGCATACCTGGTCTAAGTTTAGACAATGGGAGCCCAGGATGGAAAAATGCAGTAACTAGAAGTAATCCCAGGCATGCATGCTGCCATGTGGCAGACACTCCCCCTGCCTGTCTGAAGAAGAGACATGTGGGGGGATGCTGATTTAGTACGGGATTGGAAAACAAGGCACTTTGTTTTTATGATGGCGGGCTCCTGTGATTTTCTCTAACGAAGGCATCGCACACATGTCCGGGGAGATACTTGTAGTGTTGTGTGAAGCACCGTCGGGTTTAACTTCCCTAATTATAGCACGCAGTACAAGCTGTGTGTGCCGAGGAATCCCCAGTGCTAAGCCTCGCCGGTTACCCCAGTGCTCAGTTCTCATGCCTGTGTCACCGTGTCTGTGCTTCAGACTGCCAGCGTGGTTTTGCTTCGGCTTCTCTTCAGAGCATCACCTGTCAAACAGCTTGTTCCAGGAAGGGCTGTCTGTTCTTCTGGGTCTCATAACAAGAAGGGAACAATTACAGAGAAGAGGAATATGATTAATACTCATTACGTATGCTTAATATGGCTCTTTTCTGGACACTCTTTACAGGTGATGGGGAGGTGGGGCAGTGGGGAGGAGAGCAGAGTGATGAAGCCAGTTCATAGATGGGGATTATTAGGAGGCCATGATTGGTAAAGGCCAATGGGGAATTTTTGCCAGGACATCGGTGTAACACCCCTATTCTTTTTGAGAAATGCACTGGGATTTTTAGGGACCAGTCTGGACAGTGGTTTAATGTCTCATCCAAAGGACGGCATCTCTTTTTTACAGTATGGTGTCCCCATAACTATACTGGGGCATTAGGACTCACACAGACCACAGGTGGCCTGCTGGCCCCACTAGCACCTCTTCCAACAGCAGCCTTAGCTTTCCCAGGAGTCTCCCCTCCAAGTACTGGCCCGGATCACACCTGCTGAGCTCCAGTGGGCTACCAGCTGGGAGCTGTGGAGTGATAGTTGCAGATGTTGGTCATTCTTCCATAAGCTCATTAACATAAAATGAAAACTTGAATGGATTTACTTTACCTGTTTTGCAGAATTTCCTGATGTGTTAAAAACTAGAAGACAGGGACTTCAGTTCTCTTCTGGTGCCATGTCTTCAGTACAAGCAGCAGCTAAATGTTATAATTAACCTAATTGATGAATCAGTTAATCAGTTAGCAAGCTAGTGGTGTCAGGATTCTAGAAGAGAGTCCATGGGAAAGGTCCATAATCTTTATTTTAATTCAATATTGCCAATTAGGTTTTTATATACCAACCTAACTTGGAATCACCAGAGAGATTTGACTCTCCAGCTCCAAGTTCCGTACCCGCTCACAGACACGCTCTTCCTCCTCCCTCACCGTGTGTTTTCACCGAAGCTTTTTTTAGAATGTCTTTGCGACGGTCTTTCCACATCCAGGATGGGGAATATTTACAAAAAGTAAGGGTGCCCCTGACTCCAGTCTTTGTTCAGCCTTATTGTCTCCTGGTGGGCTCTGAGGATCCACGACAGACGTGGAGAAGTGCAGTCAGGGCTGGGGCTTCTTTACAGTGATGTGTCAAACAGGCTAGCGGTGCTGCTTGACTCTTCTGCATCACGAATGATACGGTTTTCGAAATCTATACAGGTCACAAGCATCCCGTTGCTACAGCCAATTAAAGGCGCTAACGGACCATAAATGTGAATTGTTGAAGGGTATTTGTTGTCTTATGTTCCTGAGAAGGAGGAAATTTATCGTCTGCACACAGAACCCCCCTCAGAGGTAATCCACTCAAACCCACCCACCAAAGGACGCCATGGAGCAGCTTGTTCCAGACTCCCTCAGCACTGTAAAAAAGTGCCTTCTGTCCTCATGTTTCAGTAGCTGAGGAATGTGTCATTCTCTTCACTCATCACTCAGGGTTCACAAAGTGATATAAATAGCAGGTGATACACGGCTATGGCTTTGTAGCTTTCTTTTTAAACTTTAAAACAGCCTGACCCCAGCAGTATCAGCCAAGCCTGTCATTCCTGAAATGTGTGTCGGCTCTAACAGACTGCACCACGGGGCTGTAATTTATTTTTTTTACTGTCTGGTCTGACAGTCTGATCATGATGGAGGCAAGTGCTGTGTCTGTCTCAGAGGCGGGAGCTCTGGAGCAGGGCTTGTGTTTGGGCAGCGCGGGGGCCGTTCCTGAGACCTGGCTGTCTCGTGCTGGAGTCTGGCTGCGCAGCTGTGTGGGAGCAGGGACATGCCGGAACCAGGGCGGATGGGCAGCTGGTTCCCCAGGGCTCGTTCTGCCCATGTTAGGCGGCAGAGCATAGTGAGAGGTCAGGACTGAAGGTCTTGGGGGAGACCCAGACCTGTCACATGCCTCCAGTGGAGGCTGGATTTTGGCCAAGTGCTGCTTTATATCCCAAATCCAGCTTGTGTTTCAAAACTGCTCATCACTCAAACTCAGACGCCAGGGTCTCCGGCTTTGATCCCTCTCACGGAAGTTTGGGATCAAACATTCAAGGTCCTCTGTGAATCGGATCAGTTTGACTGTTCCTTTTATTTTGGATTTCTGTTTTTTTGTATTTTTCAATCCTGTTTGTTAGTTTTGTGGTTGAAGCATATTGGCCACGACTGTGGCCACAATAGCATTCCAGCAGCATTTCTGTTACAACAGCAAGTGTACTCTAGCACAAGCACACAGCAGGACTGGACAGCAGGACTGGAGCACTATACAGCAGGGAAAGATGATTGTTTCATGTTAACATAAGAAAAAGAATCTGGCCATGCTGTCACACTATTTGCACTCACAACGTTGAAATACAGTCATGTTTATTTCCATATTTCTTTCTACAAGTGTGGTGTAAGACTATCTCAATCTCTTCCCTGTTTTTCAAGAGAGAGTTCCGAGCTGCAGTCGGACCCACCAACGGATCCACAGAGTTAAAGTGATTTGGGAGTCATTATTGCAAGGGTAGCCATTGATTGGCAAAGGAGCTGTATAATTCAAGAAAGAACATGAGTGTCGTGGGATAATTACTGTGCAACTTATCAGGAAGGCTAAAGAGATTGTTTCTTTCAAATGATGAGTCACTCAGATGTGGTCAGTGTGAATTAATCTAAAAGCCAGAGGCTCCTACGTATTATTTATCTGTCCTTTTAAATTGCTGGGCCTTTGGTTAAACATGATGGAGTGTACCGGGTGTGTGTTTTACAGAGCTGTACAGGCCACATGCAGATGAATAAGGATTGCTCACATGTGTGGTCATGGTGTTGTTTTCTGCCAGTGTGGTTGCTGTCAGTCGTGTGAATGACACCAGGAACTATTAACTGTTCAAGGTCATGGAGCCGAGCTGAACCCACCTCCTGCATCACAGCCTCCTCCGGGGAGAAGGGGCAGGCTGGCTCGGTCAATCAGCTGTAGTGGCATCCTCCTCTGCCCACAGTGCGGCTCATTAAAGAAAAGAGTAGCCTCTAGTCAAAGGCCACTATCCGCCGCCTGGCAGGCTGGCAGTATGTAACATGGGAGAAAGCTGTGCACACCTGCCAGTGCATCTACTTTTCTTCTCAGTAGACTGCAGGGTGTTCTGAAATCAGGACCTCGGTCTGGACTAAACCAACTTTTGACCACTTCACTCCAGCACTGGCTCCCTTACACTGGTTGCCAGTTAAATGTTTTTCCGAAGCCTGGATTACACAGCCTTGAGTGGTCTGGCTCCATACAGTCAACTTCTCTTTCTCTCACCTCGCGCTGGCTGCAGGCCCTGGATTGCTCCCGGTGACAAATCACTGGGTGACAGCACAGTCCCTGCAGTGCAGTGAGACCGGGGAACACTTGCAAAGGCTCCTACAGGCCGTGACCTGGTATTTTTAAATCACAGACTCAGTACTTATATGAATTATTTTTATCATTAGTTTAATATTTAATGTTTTTGTTTTTGTAGTATACAGCACTTCTGTGTCTACCCTTATTTAAGGCCCCATGTACATCAACCTAGAACTGGTGAACTCAGCAAGTTCAATTGGGGGTGGGGGCTCTATCTTTGTGTTTCCTTGAAAATTGTCCAGATTTCAGAACAGACGCAGAAGAATTAAACTGGGAGCAGTCTTACAATATCTTTTGCCAGCTAATGCCCCTTCTGCTTCTACTGCAGGTTTTATGAATGAGCATCAGTTCATCATCTACACAGTGAGTCCTGACTTTATGCCAAATGCAAAGTCGTTCTGTCTTTTCCCACTAGATGGCCCCCCTTTCATACAGAAATGTGTCTTCACCTTCTACACTGCAGTATCTCTCGTCCAGGGCTCGAGACATTAAAACCTGTAATGAGCACCGAATGGAGACTATTGAAGCAAACAGGATAGGAGCACAATTCAGAGAGCTAGGGTACCTGTACTGCTTGTTCATAGATTCACAGATGCCATTCCCAATTCTGATGGCTGATCCTGCAGAACGTGCGAACCAGATCAAAGGTTTCATTCAAATCTTTCTAGGTAATGGGGGGAGGCACAGTGGAGCAGTGGTCAGCAGTGCTGGGGCCCAGGGCTCATCTCCAGGCCCGGGGTGCGATCTGCATGGAGTCTATGTGTTC